TTCCAATTCTAATTTTACTCCAAGAATTGAAATGGAGAATGATAAACCTTACAATATTGAGCTTCAAATTCTTAATTCAAATGGAGTTTTCTCTTCAATTGGAAGTATATGCAAGTACATGAATGCATACTCATGAATGTTCAAGAATCTTGTCATGCATGTATCAATTTTCCATCTAATTCAACAAATCTTATAATTAAGCTGATGAGTTCCTTAATCACTCCTCAATTTCCATACCCCATGCATGAGATGAAATGCAGAATCATAATTTCATGAAAACATGCTATGCATGGTGAATTTAAGAGGTAATATAATCATTTTTTCCCCTTAAAATGACATGTATGTTCTAAACCCTTAAAAATATAAACAAAATTTCCAAATCACCATGAATTCATCCTTGTTCAAGTTTTAATCTTTAAAAATGAAAAACGTACAAGTCCCTAAGTCAAGAAATTGGAGAGGAAAGCTTACTTTACTTTGATGTTTTGCAAGAATTAGCTTAATTTCTCTTGTTTTCTTTTTCCTGTTGTTGAATTCTTTTCTAGGACAATCTCTCTCTCTCTCTCGTTCTAGACCTCTCTCTTTTTCTCAAATTTTTGTTTGCTCAAATGAATAAGTTTTAGCTCAAAAGATAAGCTAAGCCTATATATATCTGATATATATCTATTTCTAAACTCAATACAAGTAGTAAGAGCCAAACATGACTTTACAAATTAGACAAAATCAATTTTTAATTAAACTTCTCAGATGATTTTAAAAATTCCAATTAACATATCCATGTACTCCATTTCGATTTCTGAACCCATTTCGGCTGTCAATATCAGTTTTAAAGTCGTATTCTCAACAGATAATTTCTCCATTTGGATAGATATACACAAATTAAATCATATAATCCACAATTAACACACGGGTAATCCAGATAATTATGATTTGCATTTGTGAGGTTGTTATAGGATATGTCCGGAATGCTCCAAATAACTGAAAATGACTATTGGATCGTCAAAATCCGATTTCAAGTGGCTCAGATCTAGCCAAAACAATTTGGACGGTTCAGATCACGGTTGTACCTCAACCATGTCACATCAGAAAGTTCCTCTTATTTTTCATGCAGATGACGTCAGTAATGATAATGAGTGATGTTAGTGGTGGTCATCTTGACTTTCTTGGCAACTTTGACCAGCTCGTATAGCTTTATTTTAACTCTGTTTTTTATGCAATTTTTTTCCAAAATGATCATCTCGATGAGGCCTACACACTACTGTGATCAAAAGTTGATTTTGACAACTTTGATTTTTGGACAAATTTGAAATCACACTTTGTCTCTTCTAACTTCTTCTTTGAATCGTCGTGGCTTTGATAACTTATCTAGATTGTCTTGGCTCTGATACCATTGTTGAAAAATTATAGCAAATTCGTTTATAAACTCTGATACCACTTTGGAAGTGGAAGCGGGTTGTAAATCACTTGTTGTGATTCATAAAGACACAATATTTAATGTGATTCGGCCATACTGCCTACATCCATGAGAGGGCAATCACTTTTACTATATAATAGAAATTACAAAAGAGATTACAATGGAATAGGACTTTTTCACTCGACTCTCATTGAGCTCCCCCTCTCTACCACAAAGGGTTAATCTCTTATTTAGCTTTCTGAACAGAGCAACTCTCTGTAACTCTCTTAGAATCCAATCTCCCTAACTGGAGATAGCTTTGTATCTTACACTTCTAGAGATTATTCTCTCACTCTATCTAAAATAACCGCATAGCTTCTCTATTTATAAGTTCATTGTAACATCCCCGACCCATGATTAACGTTAATCCATGATTTAATGTGTTTAATAAGTTATTGAGATCGAATCCTAATTTAATTACATGTGTGATGCATTATTTATACTTTTATCTATCTCTCGTAGGAAGATTTGTTCATGTTTTCGTTTCGGTTTGCGAATTGAAGGCCTTATCAGCATCCAATTCAGAAATTGACTTGATTTATGTGTTATTTAGAATTTTTAGAATTTTATAATAGATTTAATTGAAAGTCGATTTGGAACGATTAAATTAGATTAATTTAATGCCTACTTGATTAGCCTTAATTAACTCTCATTAGGCAAGCCTATATAAGGCTTCTTATGTGCTCTCACTCATTCTTTTCTCTCATATCAACACATTTTGAGCTCACACACACACAAACGTGTAGAGAGAGAAAGAGAGGCTAGAGAGAAGTCTTCAAACAAGGAATTTGCTAGAGAATTAAGGAGAATTGAAGGAATTGACCAAGAACTCACTAGGTTTCAAGGAGTTGAGAACTTAAGGTATGAAATCAAGCCTTTAGTTGTGTAATTAAGGTGCGTAACTCATGCATTCAAAAAGAATTAAATGAGTTGGGGCAAGAATTAAGTTTAATGAAGTAGAAGAGAAGAGTATACACACATGCATGTGCATTACATTGCATTTAGAGCATGTTGTCTAAGAATTTGCCCATGCATGTTCATATTTTGGTTGTAGTCTAAGAATTCACCATGTTTTTTAGTAGAATATCTCATTTGATCATGTTTTGGAAGTTATGAACTCAAATGAATACATGCATGACACGTTCACGTCATATTTTACATTTTAAGTTGAATGTTACACAATTAACATACTTTTGGGCCTTGATTTTATGAAATGATCTTTAAACCTTCATATTTTACAAGTTTACATATGTTGTCTTAGTTTTGGGCTCAAAAGGATGTGAATTGTGACCTGGAATTTGAATTTGGAGTTGGAAAGAGCAATCTGGAAATCCTAGATTTTGCCTCTCCGCTTGAGCGACGGATTCTCCACTCAAGCGCCCACTCTGTGATCTTGCATTTCTGCTCGAGTGACTAAAAGTCCGCTCGAGCGTGAAATGCATGCTCCTAGAAGTTCTTATATTTTGCAGTCCGCTCAAGCGAGGACATGTCTCTCACGCTTGAGCGAGCGTCAAGCGAGCATCGAGCAGAAAAATCAAGCAACCAACACTTTTGCAAAAGTTTACAGACCGTTCAAGCGACAGATCTTGCGCTCGAGCGACCACTCACATTTTGCATGTCTGCTTGAGCGTAGGAAGTTGCGCTCGAGCGAGAACTCTGTTTTCAGCAAGTTTTATCAAGTGCTTTCAAGTGCATTTTTGCATCCTCATTCCATCATAGGCATACCTAGGCCAAGATTAAGGCACAATAATGAGGATAAAAGTAGAGACACACCAAGATAAGAAAAGAACAAGGTAAATGTCTCCGGGTGTGTAATTCAGTATATATATTCGTTTTGTTCTTGTGTAGGTCACGCGCCGCAAGATATCTGAATTACCTACTTTATTCCTCTGTTTGGAGCCACTTGTTATTTGTGAGTAATAACTTTGTAAATTATGTTAAACTTTAATTATTTTCTGATGATACGACATGATTAGTTTCTGAAATGCTATGTTTTGTGTCAATAAATGATTGTCCAAGTTTCTGAAATATATTTTGTGGCATCCTTAGCATCATATGATATGCGCCCCTTTATGGGTCATCAGGTCCCTTTATGAGTCACCAGATTCTCTTATGGGTCATTGGAATGCCTTTACGGCTGTTCCTTTATGGGTCATCGGAAACGTCTCTGTGCACTCGAGTCATCAGAATGCCTTATGGCTGTCCCTTTATGGGTCATTAGAATGCTTTCACGGCTGTCCCTTCATGGGTCATCGGATTTGTTAACACTAATAGATGTGCCACATACTATGATGTGAAATGTGTGAACTTTGAAAATGAATATGAACAAGTACATGAATCTATTTCTAAATTGAAATCTAAATATGCATAAAACTCTGTTTCTGATATAAATTCTGATTTCTAATTCTATTATGGACATCATTCATTATAACCCCTTTACTTTGTTATTATTCACTAGGTTCCTGCTAACTATTTATATTATATATGTAGTTGATCAGGCGTGAGACCAAGCCCAGAGTTGATGGCCTAAGATTTCGTTTTGTCAGTCATCCTTTGCGCCTTTCAAGGAGGTTCCAGATTAAGTCAATTTAGTGGCTGTTTCTTTTTGTGAATGTATTAGCCTTTGTTTCTTTTGATCTTTGAACAAGATTTTGTTCATATGTACATGAAGTAATGTGTAAATATTGTATCTTTTGGTATCACTCGTAAGTTTATAAAAGCTTAAGATTATCTGTCCTATGTATGTTTTCACAGCTTAATGGACTAAGTATTATTTATGTATTTGCTTTCGCAGCCCCTAACTATGTGTTATTCTGTTGAGAGGTCTTTGATAATCTAAGAATTACTGGCCGGTTATGCCGCTAAATCTATAAGGGCCGGTTTGGGTCGTGACATTCATCCTACAATGTAAACACACAATTTGAACACAAGAAAATACAAATAATAGGAAACCAAATCCAAATTAAACCCCTCAATTCCAAAAGTTTCTTCTTTATTTTAGAATTGCTTCTTCAACTTGAACTTTGCAGCCTCTAAATGCACAGTAATGAAATTTCATGAATTCTTCATAAGCTTCTAGCTTCTTCTTCTTTTCTTCAAATTCAAATTGAATTCCTTTTTTTCAATCTAAAATTCTTTGGAGCCTACTTTTAAACTCAAATTAAATTTGACTTGCAACAATCCCTCAAACTCAATTTGTTGAATTGTTTTAATCTAAACAATCTTTAAGTTTATAACTTCAATACAACATATAAATAAAAGAGGATAAAATTCAAATATCATTTATACCTTTTTTATATATTGATAATTTTTTTTCTCTTTTTCAACCCCATACATATCCTTTAAGAAAAAAACCTTTCTTCAACGATTTTGTGATTGCTGCTCAGTTTAGTGCTTGTTTTCAACCATGTCACCCAATTATGAGTGGGGTATCAGAATCCTCCCATTACATTACAGTTCAAAAAAAAGAAAAAAGAAAAAAAGAATCCTCCAATTAAATTCTATAAAAATAAATAAAACCACTTCTTTTTTTAATCCAAGTGGCCGGCACACCCTGTCCCTCCACCATACCACTCTCCAACCTCATCCCTCCAAGGATTCCAGAACCTTCCTCCCCCCTCTCTCTCTCTTGCCAAATGAAGAAAGGAAATATTACATATACACAGATATGGCTTACCAAAATAATATCTAGAACTTTCCATCATTAAAATTTTCATAATAGATCCTCATTCATACCCTTAATCACTCACTTCCAAAGCTTCCCTCTATGTGTCTGTGACTCAGCAAAACCAACCTCTCAACTGGATAAACTACCTTCCCCAAAGGGGAAAGTCTGGTGCACCTCGTGTCCTTCCACTTTGACCTGCTCAGTCTCAATCCATGTAGCTCTAAATCCATTGCACTCTCTTGTTTTCTCCTCTTTTAGCATGTTTGGATCTTTAAACTTTTATGAAATCTTTTCTTGTCTCTTCTTTGCAAAATTGACTGTATTGTTCTTCAATTCTGGCATTCAAAATTGAACCCATCTGAGATTGGACCAAGGAATCGAGAAAAGAACACAAACCCAGTAAAATTTAAGCATCTTTTTGCAATCTTGATGATGAATCCTTCATACCCAGTTAAGGAGGAGTGTCCGGGATCGAGTTCATCGCAATCCGGTGAGGGGCCGCCGCCGCAGCCGATGGAGGGGCTTCATGACACAGGCCCTCCACCGTTTCTCACCAAGACCTTTGACATGGTGGATGACCCAATCAGTGATCATGTAGTTTCTTGGAGCAGAGGGGGTCACAGCTTTGTTGTTTGGGATCCATATGCCTTCTCTTCCAATCTCCTCCCAACATACTTCAAGCACAACAACTTCTCAAGCTTTGTCAGGCAGCTCAATACTTATGTGAGTATTCACTCTCTTAAATACAAATCTTCTGATTGGTTTTTGCATTTTTAATCTCCTTCTATATTTCATCTTGATGGAAAAAAATAAAATAAAATAAAATAAAAAAATCCTTCAAAACCAGTAATTCCATCTGTTACCTGTTTGTTTAAAGAACTGTGAGAGTTTCTTTTGTTACTGAAAATTTTCGTTGCTGTTTGTTGATCTATTTTTCAGCCTGGATGATCGGTTCTTGGAGTCTCTCACTCAACACTTTGTAATGGTTATATTTTCTACTCTTTAGATTTGAAAGATTTGGGAACTCCTTTCCATTCTTCAAATCATCTTGTTTTGCATATCATTGAATCTTTTCCCCCCCATCAATCTTGTGCCTCTTTCTTTCTTTCTTTCTTTCCAAAGTTCCTTTCTAGACTTAGGTCCTTAGTAAAATTCTTTTACTTGGTCCATAAAGTCAGAACTGGTACATTTTTACAGGTATTGTATGAAAGCTACTAACCTTCTTAAACCTTTCAATCTTATTGTTTAGCTAGTGCGCACACAGAGATCTATAAATTCCAGTTTCCAAAAAATTCTTGATTCATGGACTCAGGAACCATGACTTTGAATGTGGAACTGGACTTGCAGGGCTTTAGGAAGATTGATCCAGATAAATGGGAATTTGCTAATGAAGGATTTCTGAGCGGTCGTAGGCATCTTCTGAAGAACATCAAAAGAAGAAAGGTACCTTCACAGCCTCTTCCTCCTCAACAAGCTCTGGGTCCTTGTTTGGAAGTTGGAAGATTCGGATTCGATGGAGAAATAGATCGCCTGAGACGGGACAAGCAGGTTCTGATGATGGAACTTGTGAAGCTTAGACAGCAACAGCAAAATAGCAGGGCTCATCTTCGTGCCATGGAACTGAGGCTTCAAGGGACAGAGAGGAAGCAGCAACAAATGATGATTTTTCTTGCAAAAGCTATGCAAAATCCATTATTTATCCAGCAATTAGTCCAACTGAAGGAGAAAAGAAAGGAACTCGAAGACAAAGCTACTAAAAAAAGGCAGAGGCGCCCAATTGAGCAAGGCCAATCCAGTCGAAGTGGTGAAGGGTTAATTAAAATCGAGCCTCTGGAATTCGTAGACCCTTATGGATTTGAAGTATCAGAGCTGGAGGCACTTGCAATGGAAATGCAGGGATTTGGTAGTAGATCAAGAAAGGAGAGAGAAGAAGAACTCGAGCAATTTGAGAATGGGGGGGATAAAGAACTTGATGAGAGGTTTTGGGAAGAATTACTGAATGAGAAGCTCGATGAAGAATCAGGTTTGCCAGGGAACGAAGAAGAATGTGAAGAGGAGGATGTGAATGTCTTAGCCAATCAATTGGGTTACTTGGGTTCAAGCCCAAAGTAGAAAGTGGCTTCTTCTGCATCGCTGATCGTCCACTTCCTGGCTCCTTGCATCAGTGACCATTTCTTTTGTGTTCTTAATCTTAGATCTACCTATGTTACTTGTTAATTTCTGTCTCATTTTGTGTAGATTAGGTTCCCAAGCAAAGAGGAAGATGTGATTACCTAATCCAATCCATTGGGTTACCTGTGTTCGAGCGCAAAGTAGAAAGCTGGACTTGATTAAACATTGCTAGTTGTCAACTGTCAACTACCTCACCACTCCCTCGATCACCGTTACTTTTAGGTAGCAGGCCTTCCGTAGTTGTTTGATTAATTTCAGTCTTGTTTGATTAATTTCAGTCTGTTTGTGTAATTTAGATCCTAGCAAATGCTAGTAGGCCATAACTTTCTTATGGGTTTCTTGCAATTTGGCAGGATAGGGAATTACCAATCATTGTAACTATCGAAGAAAAAAAAAAAAAAAAAAACTTGGTTTTGTTGTTTCTAACTCTGTGACTCTTCTTTGTTGCCTTTTTATATGTACATAGATATATCTGCTTCTCATTCATCTCTACCTTCATCAGATTGCAGGCCTTGTTCAAGAGTATGTAGAAGTTCTTTATCATGATTTGTCTCAAGGTTCATGTTTTTTAATATTATTTAGTTTATTTGTCCTTATCACCCACTAGTTCTGATTTAATATCATTTGGTTAACTGGTTTTTTGGTAATTCATTTTTGGCCTATAGATTGCTCAGGAGCCGTTGAATATGAAGATACTTTCGCTGCAAGTTGCAAAAAAACAGCTTCAGTTAAGTTATCTTTTTTTATTATTCAAGTGGCAGCTGTGGTCACTTTGTCGGTTAGATTTTTTGTTTATGAGTTGTCTTTTTATTTGTTTTAATGAGGCAGAGATCAAGATCAAGATGTGTTTGGTTTTGAATTTGGTGATGCAACTTGCGAAGATATTTTCTGCTTGCGGTAATTTAATTCTTAAATCAGTCATTTTCGTCAGCTCAGCTGTATCTAGGCTCATAAAGGGCAATGCATTATATGACTCTTTTGAGCAACACCACACATGAATAGCATTTTAAATTTGTCATTGTTAGTGATGTTCCTGTTAGACTGATAATAACAAAACTTCCTCCGTTTGCAGCTCTAAATAACGGGATTCTGAATGAAAAATAAGGTAAAATAGAAGGGAACTTTTTTTTGGTCCTTCATGGGAAGTTCCTCCACCATCTATAATGATCCACCATCTATAATGAGCCTGCTATTAGTTTGTAGGTTTTGCTCATCTGGTGACCTTGAATCTCTTATGGCAGATGTTGGGCATCTAGGACTTTTGCACAACTTTTGGTTGCGTACTGAAGTCCATATGAACTGGAATGAGTACCGGTAGTTGGGAAAATCTTGGTGGTTATTTGCTGAAACCATTTAAGTTTTCAGTTTGTGAATAGGCTGTTGAGCATCTTCAAAAGCCTCGGTAAAAAATAAAAACAAAAAACCAGAAAACAGGAAGACGTGATATGTCGGATAAAGAGATTATTTAGGATGATTGAAGGTAAACTTTGAACGAATTGAAATGAAGAGCTGGCTGGGCAGTGACAGTCTATGAATTGAGTTGGGGGGTAGGGAGTTAATGCTTACATATTGAGCTTGCTCCAAATATCTCAATCAATGCAATATATCCTCATGGCCGATCAATGACATGAAAACATAGGAGGTACCAAGAGAACAAGCATCTATGGTGTCTAAGAAATTTCAAGACAAGACATTGAACATTAATATACTTTTAGTGCAAAACTTTTGCTAATTGGAACGACATGATAACACCGAGGGGCAAGGATGACATGCACGAACAAATTGAGCTCATAATTTTTTCTCGATTAAAATTCTGCTTCTCATTCGAGGAGTCATTATGATAACATGAAGCTTCGGACAAACCACATTGAAAATATGAAAATAAAAATTTATGGAATTTTAGTGAGGAAATAATAAGAGATGCATTATCCCTATATAAATTTTGGGTTTTTCAATGTAATTTTACTTCGTCCATCAATATAATTAAATTCGTTGTTATGGTAAGAGAAATTAATGTAATTTGTCGAAATTAATGTAATTTGCCACCCATTATGAAATTTTCTGTAATTTCTTTTTGGGTGGATTGTAATAATTGAAAATACCATTAGTTTATTTTAAGGGTAAAGTTGTCAATTTAATAAAATATAAATTAATTTGACAAAATTAAATGTTAAAAAATTATTTTTAAATTTTTAAAATTTGTTTCTACCTACCAAAGATAAAATTATATAAAAGTGATAAATTTTTTACGTTTTTATTTTTTTATTTGTTTATCAAACTAATTAATATGTGTTTTGATGATAATCATGTAATGGACGGTTGTTTTTGTTGATATTTTTTGATGATTATCATGTAATAGATTGTTGTATTTGTTGATAACAAATATTTTTGGATGGTTATCATATAATAGATGGTTATTGGACTTTTAATGTATAATTGATATGTTTAATATATAAAATATTTTTAGTTTAAATTTTTTGATTTAATGAATTGATTTAATAATGATAACAAAATGATCGTCATGTTCAACTTTAATAGAAACTAATTTAACAAAAATAAATATAAAAAAATTTATTTTAAAAAATTATTTCTACTATCCCAAAAGATAAAATTATATAAAAATGATGTGTTTTTAAAATTTTTTCACTAATTTAATTTTTAGTTTCTTACAAAAAAATTATATAAATATAGATTCTGAAATCAAATCAAATATTAACTTTATAACCAAGAAAGTTTCAACATTATTTATTAAAAAAAAGAAATTATTAAATTTCAAACAACATAAAAGTTAATCAATGCAAAGTAAGTTATATGATGACTTAGGCCTCGTTTGGCAAGAGGCTATTTTAGCCAATTAGCCAAAAAGTTACTAAATTAGCCAAAAAGCCAACAACCCATACCAAAAAGTCAAAGATTCTCTTTTCTCTCTACTTTTTGCACATCTTTTCGTAATTAGCCAAAAAGTCATCCCAAACATACAAGTTTTTTTTACCTACCTTTTTAGCCAAATAGCCAAAAAGTTACTAAATTAGCCTGTTCCCAAACGAGGCCTTAATTCTTGAAATAGACCGTTTGTAAATAAAATATCTTTAATTATTTTTATTTAAAATAAAATTTAAAATTTAATATTAAATGTGTCATAAACTCTAAATTATAAAAATTATTAGTGTAATTTGTCATTTCTTTTATTATTTGAAGGGTAACAAGTATAATTTATTAAAAAAAATATTATATTTGGATGGATTGAAGGTCTGATTGCTTGTGACTGAGATTCATAACTTTCACCTACACCTTCAACGTGAACACTTCAGTACAAAAATGCACGTTAATAAAAAATCAGTAGGTGATGTAAGCAAATTTATTTTTAAAATAAAAAATTAATTTTAAGTTTTAATATTTTATGTATAAAAAATTTTAAAAATTAGAATTCAAATAATGACTGATAAATTTTTTTTGACATTATATGTGATGTTATGTAAAAAGTTCATAAAAACAATTTCTTTCAAAGTTACAATAATAATAATAATAATAATAATAATAATAATAAAGTATATATTCTAACCTGAAATCAAACCTGAAATTGTGTTAATGAAATCTATCAAAAATCATGAATTTCACTTATATCAAAATATTTTTTTTTGAAAAAAATAAAAACAACGAAAAATTTTATAATGTACAAATTATGATTTGGTTATAACTCATGGTGTATTATATTATGATATATGTTATAAAAGAACTAGGGATAACCCGTGCCAGAAGACAACCAATAATTTTTTGATATCACATTTGCTACGGAATTCAATTGTCATAAATCAATTCAAAATGAAAATATTATTTCAATTTATAACTTCACAGATAAGAAACTGAAATTGTTTTTACATATTGAATTGTCAAAAGTATTCATAAATCTCAAATTGTAAACTTCAAAATAAAGTCCAAATAGTGAATTTTATATTTCAGTGTAGCATAAGCAAAGAATCTAAAAAGATTTGCTAAAATTTAAGTCCAAATAGCAAATTTTATCATTTGATCCACGTTAAAATGACACATATATAACAAACCTTCAATAAAATAATATTACTGAATTAGCATCATAACTGGTAACTGTTTCGCCTTATTAGATTTCAATACTTTTTTTGAGTGGATGAATAAATATTTTGATACGAAAGAGTAATCATCCTAGCTAGCCAAAAATAAAACATTAATCATCCAATTTAGAATGAAAGCCAATTAACAACACACATAGAGCGTATTAACATCTCATATGTTCTTAAAAATCACATAATAAAAGGATATCTACTTGAGAGGGAGATTTATGACCAGATATTGGCCGAGCTAGTTTGGGCTTCAGTCGAGGCCTTAACTCGAACAAAACGGGCCCCGCACGCTTGACCGAGGTATTAGCACGGTCAAATGTTGGCTACGCGTTGGACCGAGCTATGAACCCGGTCAGGTTAAGGACAAACGTTGGGGTGTTAGCTCGGTCTGAAGATGTGCATTCCATCAAGAGTTGGATGGGACTTGCCCTTGATAGACGGTTTGGCCGAGCAAGAGCTCATTGTGGACTAGCGAGCTCGCTTGAGTCAACATTTAGATTTATCTGCCAGGACCGAGCAGGTATCGCGGTCCTGAAGAAAGATTGTGGTGCCGTGCTGGGCATAGCCCGGTAAGGAGTGCTGTGTGGCATGATTGGACTACAGGAAGGAGATTCCGCCGTTCTTACGCTTCAATATCGTTAGGCAGTTTTGCCATTAGTGTTTGGCTGTATTCGTGCCTACACATAAAGGAAGGCAAGAGGACAGTATATCCACGTGTCCAGGAAAGGACGTGCAAGGTGGTGTGCGCACAAACTATATAAACGGCGCAGCGCCTCCATGCACAGGTCTAGAACCCTTACACACTGAGACCTCCTAGTTATTAGAGCTTTCTCTCTTTTGTCTTCTCTCTCTCTCTCTAAAATTGTGCTAACTTGACTGTTGGAGGTGTATTCCGGCCACTACCCACCAGGTAGCTCACCGTTGTTGTGTTCACAGGTTATTCAGAGTGAAGCGAAGCTTGGACACGAGGAGTATAGAGTGTTATGAATATTTTCTTCCTACACAACTGGTGTCGTCTATGGGAATCTTTGACAGACAAAACCTTGTCCTCCAAGCTTTTCCAGTCATCTTTCACGGCAAACAATGACGACATTCCGCTGTCCGCCATAGACGGCATCATGTCGGAGTCCGTTCGGCTCAGAGATGGCCTGTCTGCCATTCCGACGATGGTTGGTTTGGAGACCTCCGCGCAAGGACTTCCCAAAGATGCATGAGACAAGCGCACAAGGAGTTCTGGACGCTCTGTCAATCCAGAAGAGTGTTGCCGATGGCAAGATTCACATACTCAGCACCTAGAAGACAAGTTGAGAGACTAAGATACCATCATTAAGAAAATGACGACGGAGATGAAGGCCTTGAAATGCCAGATGAAGGGAAAGGGCATCGCTGGAGTGAGAAACCACAGTGAGCACGCCTATTCCTACCGTTCCGGCAGTCAAAATAAACGCCGCACCCCTTTTACTCTCTTTCACGAGACGTGTAACGACCTAGACTTGCTAATCGTGATTTTAATTAATTAATTATGTGTTAATTCTAATTGAACTAAGTTCCTAGTAATTTAATTTATGCACATCTGTCCAAATTGAAAAATTACATGTTAAGGTTACATCTTTGAAACTGAAATCGACAATCTTATTAGGTGCACAAATTGAAATTGAGTGCATAGATGGACTCATGGGAATTTTAGAGCTATTTGGGCAATTTAATTGAAAATTGATGCAGTTTACTGAAATAGTCTGTGATTGAATTGAACCTTAATTGGAACTATTACTTATGTTCCTACATGTTAATTATATGATTAAGTGTCATTGATTGTTATGAGATTTATTGACTTTGAATAGATAGGTTAGAATGAAAATTAAACCTATCTGATTCGCTAATTTTAACAAGTTAGAATTAAATAAAATTGGATAGGAATTAGAGCCTAATTTACCTTAGTATAATTTAATTTGGTGTAATTAAGAGTATAAGATGATGAGATTAATTTAATTTGAGTGTAGTTGATTTTAATTAATTTCTTAGCCTAATTAATTTAAGCCTTACGTAAGTATAATTAAAGAATTAGTGAAATAGTGTTTTGACTCATCAATACTCATCAATTGAATATAGAAGAGAGGACTAGAGTTAGAAGTAGTGGGACTTGTTTTGATAGTCACCCACGTAGAGAGAGAGAGAGAGAGCGACTTTGAGAGTTAGAACTCAAGAGAAGAGGTAGAGGAAGAACATTGAAACTAAGTTCAATTCATCAACTTAAGGTAAGACTACTATTTAAATTTCTTGAAATTGAATCTCATATGCTCATCACCTTTAAAGATATAAGGTTAATTAGGATGAATTCATGGTTAATTGGAAGTTTATGGTGGTAATTGACCAATTTGAACATACAAGCTAAGTTAGAAAAGAATTGAAGGAAATTGACCTTAGATTCAACATGTATGGCATGAATTCATAACACCTTGGTTTATATACATATTTTCTTGCATAATTTTCATGAACCCTCCAAGTTTCATTGAGCTTTCCTTAGAAAGTTTGGAATTAGAATTGTTGAAACACATGAATCATGTTTTTATAACTCCTTTGGAGGCTTAGATCAACTAAATGTGAAGACTTAAATTAAATTACGAACATGCATGATATTCTTGTTGTTCCTACATGTCATTTCTTGCATGAGCCTTATGAATTCTAAAGTTTCCAAAGGACTCTCTTCATGCATTTTGAGATTGAAGCCTCAAACCACATGGTTTATACTTTTGAAGTTTTATTAGAGTCTATGATCTCTCAAATTGGACATTTGGAATTTATTTACAAGTTTTGATTTCTAG